GAGTTGTGTGTGTGTGTGTCTCTCGCTCCCTCTGCTCTGCTGTTGCTGACAAGATCAGGCTGAGATTAACAAGTCCATGCTACTCTGCCAACCTCGCTGCTCCGGCGGCTGCACGCACGCCGGGGGCTCGCAATAATACCAAACTTTGGGAAAGTTAAAAATGGAATGGGTTGGAGGGATGTAAAGCAAAATGGCAGGGAAGCAGAAAACACTGCCTGGACAATTATTGCAGCAGCAAGCAGGGCACTGCTCTGTAGTCAAGGCTGTGTCAGCACTTTCTTTCTAAACCCCCCCATTTTCAGGGGGCTGTAATTCAGAAAGGAAAAAAAAAAAAATAAAAAAAAGAAAAAATGCTTATGGCCAAAAATATCGCAGGTAAACCCCCTTCTCTTTGCATTTTAAATCACCCATTTAAACCATTCAGAAAGTTACAGGACTCTGTGCGCTTCTCAGGCAGCCCTACATGCCTTTTTTATGCAAATACAAGTCTTTTTTTTTAAAGAGGTTTCACAAGAATTTGACCTACATTGTGAATGCCCCCTCCTTTTTTTTTTTTTAAATAAAAGCAATATAAAACATACCTTAACATCGAAACCCGGTTTGCATAAACATGGGATAATTTCTAAGTTCTGCACACACATTGCCTGAAAGGTGCCAGACTGGTACCAGAGATATGAAAATGCTCCCACAGACAACCCAGCACAGCCTCTACTGAGGTCTCAACCCCAATTCATTATGGGAACTTGGTAACTCAAACTGCTGAGGGCATCTGCATTTTCCCTGGATAAGGAAAGGGTCCTTATAATCACGTTAAAATAAGGAAACAAAGTGTTTGATCTGTATTTACTACTTTACAACTACACTCTAAGCAGTGACACATCAGGGCAATAGCTGCTGCTGTTGTTAATAACAGGGTTTTGGTGGTGGGGGCTTTTTCTTTTGTTTGTTTGTTGGGTTTTTACTCAGATACAGAAATAACACTTTTTACACAAGCCATTTACACTGACACTTTTCAGTTAGGTTTAAAATTACAATAACAAAATGTAGGAAAAAACCTCCAACCACGAACTATACAGGCACATTGCTACTTTCTTCTAGAGTAAAAATACAGCTTTACTGTAAAGTCTGTGCAGCAGCCTAAGCCTGCTGGGCAAGAAAACCAAAGTGTAAGTCTTGGTTGATATGGAATAGCCAAGAAACATGGAGAATCCACGATAATGGACAATAGCACCACACCCACCTGCTCAGAGGAAGAGAACTCTGCTAACAACGGGCAAACCTGTGCTCCTTCCCCCCTGAACCAGCACGGGCTGCACATTCCTGCCTCAGGCCAGTCTGCTCTGCAAATACCAGAAGTGATGGTGACACACACACACACACCCAACTCTGCCACCTGGCACTGGGGCTGCAATGGAAAGAGGAGCGAGTGTGGCGAAATCTCCATCCACAGCAGTTTTCTCCAGTGTACGAAAGCAGAGCACTGAGGGTTCTGCTCTGCTCCACCAACTAACACACAGAGTGTTTATGCTCCTGAAAGACACATCATTTGCATGCAGTGTTTAATGGCAGGCAGATGCTTTTCTCTGATCATTAATCTGGAGCAAAGTGGAAGGCTACTGGAAACAAATGAGTGAAGTTCTCCTAAAGGTTTTCAGTATTCTCTGCACACTGCTTAAGTTAAACTAATTGCTAATTCACATTAACGAGACACTGAACAAGGACAAACATTAACACATTATGATTCAACTGGACAATACCAAGAAACACAAAATGGAAGCTGATTTTTCATCTTCCTTTTATGACACCAGGGGAGAAGTCAAAAATAAAGAAGATACAGTACAAAACTTCTTAGTAAGTCCAACTTCATACTTCCTATTGAAGAATAAAGTAGTAGGATTTATAAGAACTCTAAATGCAAAGGTATATAGGCAATTAAACTAAATTTAATTAAATTAAGACTCGGCTTTATAAGTTTGTATGGTAGGTTAAGCAGAAGACATATATTAACCTAATATTTAAGAAAAAAGTACAACTTTAGTATATTAATGACCATACCCAGGAATAACAATAGCCATAAATATTGTGTTTAATTTAGCAGGAAACCACACATTTTAACAACATGAAAAGATCATTAGCTTAGCTCTCATCCCCACATTTATCATGCCAACATTTATACTGTAAACCCACAGCTGCAGCCCAAAGCTGAAAACATGCCAGCAATATGCATAGGTTGTATCAATATTTGCACATGGAGCCTTGAACACAAATTAGTTGACACTCAACACTTGAAGCTTTCTCTCTGAAGTTGCAATATTTAAAGGTTAAAGATTAGACATGCTCCCTCTTGTGTTAAACTAAGAATACACGAATGCACGCTGTTTTCTCTGACACGATGGTTGCTTGGCCATCTGTTCCATCAAGCAACCCCTTTAGCTCTGGCTACTCACGTCCGACAGAGCTTCACCAAAACCCCTCAGTTTAAAGGCAGATAGTCTGAGCACATAACCTGTATCCACAGAGTATCTGTGTTACATCAAACTAGCTACTGTATTATCAGAAAGGACCATTAAGAGATTACACGTAAACAAAACCTGCTGCAAATAAGTGTCTTGGACAGATACATACATGACTTGATCAATTACATGGCAAGTCACACCCGTTCAATCCCTATAGGCATCGCAGAGTTAAGGTATGCCAGGTTCAAGCTGCTCAGTACCATTAATCATGGGGAATACTGAAGAGCAAATTTCCTTCTAAATATTAGCTTACAGGATGCTGAAGACAGACAGGAAGAACAGGAATATTTTACAATGCCACATAATTATGTTTGTAAATACAGCAACAATTGAGCAAAGTTTTCGATCCTCCACCCAAGCAGCTCAGGGTGAACAATTCCCTGCCCAGGGCCTTAATGGAGTCAAAATCCCCCTTATAAAAATCCTCTTGCAGGATCTGGTCCCAGGATCATGTCTGGACACGAATGCTAATCCCAGGTGTAACTAACACAAAAGTTTTACTAACACACTTCTCAAACAAAGGCTTTGCACCTGGTGTGGGCTTGGCAAATTATGTTTAGGCATACATTTGCTGGTTATGGTCAGCACAAGGCTGAATGCTAGGGCAGCTGTGAGTAAATATCAATAAAAAGTTAAGAGTCAAGAGCCAAAGAAAATCCAAAACTCAACTACATGGCTTCCCACATTCCCTTTTATTTATCCCCACCCCTTTCTGGTGGACAGATACTTTCAGTGCAAGGAGATCTATGCACATCAGAAATAATACCACTACATACTCTCAGAAACATACTTGCTCTTTCAAACCATGAAAGTTAGATGTGTTCGCTCCTCCTAGAAGTCTTGGTGTTTATTTTCCCTTAGTCTTCTGCAGACTGGCAAAAACATAACCGCAGTGTTCAGAGAGCATAAAAATCATCACGGTTATTGATAAACACAGGCTTTGGAGGCTCTTTAAAGCTTCAAACTCAAGCAGCGCATTGCTTGAAGCACATTTGCTGCCAGTGCATCACGAAACTAAACTTTTGACATCGACTTCAGCAAGAGAATGAAGTTTGTATTTACTGCACGGGCCGGGGGTATGGGCACCTTTCCCTTCCTCTCAAGCTCGCGGTGCCGCAGGTCCGTCCCAGTGCCCTGTGTCACTGCGGGTCACAGCGAGGAGCCCAACACCGAGACACTGCCCAGAAAGCAGCTTTTACATTAGGATTGACACTCCAAGAGCGGTTTTATTCCCTCGCACACGCACAGAAGCAGAAACTCTGCGGGATCGCGTCCCTTTTCTTTTTTTTTTTTTAATGGAAACACTCACGTACGTCCGCCAGAGGAATTACTGCTCGCTTAAACCGGTGCTTGTCACCTTACAGGGACCGGCCAGAGGTCAGCGGGTCACGCAAAGCCTCTGAGCGCAGCCATGGAGATCCCCAGCCCGCCGGGATCCCGCCGGGAGCCCGCGCACGCAGCGCCGGCGGGGGCAGCCCCGGCTCCGCACCTGTAGCGCCCGGCGGCGCCGGCTCCGCTCCCGGCCAGGCTGCGAGGGCAGCGCCGCCCATGAAGGGACCCCCAGAGCCCCCGGCGGCCGAACGGAGCCGCCCCCCCCTCCCCACCCCGTCCCCCGCGGGGCGGGCGGGACCGGCCCGGCTGCGGCGGGAGCTGCGCCCGCCCCACGCCTCCGCTCACCGGGGAAACTCGGCGCCGGCCCGGGGAGCCGCGGGCAGGGGGCTGCCGCCGTCTCCGCTATTTAAACCTCTTCCCGCCGTCTCCGCCTCACTGGCTCTCACTCGCTCCCTCCGCCCCGCGGAACTCACGGGGGCGGCCCCGCCCCTCCCGATGTACACACGGCCACACCCCGCCCACCGCTCCGCCCGCCCGCCCCAGACGCACCGCCCATTGGTTCAGCATCTTGCCCGTCAATCTGAGAGGCTACAGCATTGGCTGGCGGCGCTGTCAATCACATCGCACCCCGCCCTGCGCCCCGCCCCTCTCCTTCCCGGACACCTCGGGGGTGTTAAAACGGCCGTTTGAAGTCACCAGCAAAATTTACTTTTAGGCCCCGCCCACTGAGCCCGAGAGCTGTTCTGATTGGGCCGTAGGAAATGGCTCTCTGCCGCCCCTGAGTGGCTGGGTGTCCATAACCCCCCCAAATCCCGCCTATCCCGATGCCGTCATCCCATTTGATTTGTCCGCGCATCCCCGCGGCCCCGCCCATTCCCACACCGCTGCCCATTCATGCGCGGCTCCCCGAGCTCTGGGGCGGTGCCCACACTCACGGCGGAGGAACGTGAGGGAAGGCAGCCGCTCATTGGCCCGCGCGCCGTCGCTCTCCGTCCGTCACCGCCCCCTCGGAGCGTACCAAGCTGCGGCGGCGCGGGGTGGCGGGAGGGGGGAGCGCGCGGCGTTGGTTCGGCCCGTGTCCATGAGGGCCGGGGCGGGGCGCGCGCCGTTTCCCGGCATGCCGCGCGCGCCGTAGGTAGCTCCCGCCGGGACGCGCTGGGAAGGAGGGCGGGAGGGAAAGGAGGGAGGGGGGAGGCGGCCGGTGCCCGATCCAAGATGGCGGTGCAGGAATCAGCCGCTCAGCTCTCAATGACTCTGAAGGTGCAGGAGTACCCCACTCTCAAGGTGGGTGCCGGGCCGCCCCCGGCGCGGGGGGGAGCGCGTTAACGCCCTCAGCGTCCCGCCCGAGCAGCGCTGAGGGGGAGCCCCTTCTCCCCACCCCGTTCTCCCCGCCTCGGGAGCCCCGGGGCTGTGGGATGGAGGCTGGGGACGATTCCTATCGCGTAGTTCCTGCCTGTCCTCGTTTTTCCTCCGCTTGACGTCTCGGCTGGTGCCGCTCCGCTGCTGCTGTTCCCATCCCCCTCCGCGGAGGGAGAGGGACGTGCCTGGAATATGCGGCTCTTCCCTGGTGTCTCCGTGCCCTGAGGGGACGGGGGAGGCCCCCGGGCCACGCCGGGAACACAAAAAGAGCTGGAAAGGAGCTGGGAGAGGAGTGAGGTCCTTGTGCTCGCGGGGCGGTGTGAGGGGGGAGCGGGCTCGGACGGAGCCGGGCTGGGGGAGAGGGGCTGGGGCGTGTGAGTGGAATGTGCTCCCTCAGGAAGACCGAGCACTGCCTGGAGTGCTCATCCCAGATGATTATCTGCATCTACGTGGCGTTGTTAGGAGACGTGGTAAAGGGGAGGGAGTGGAGGTGGCGGTGTAATATGGTTCCCTGGCTGCTTGGTCCCCCGAAGATGGAGATGAGCTTAAAATATAAAAAGGGACAGACGTACTGGAGGGCTGTGGAGGCGAATAAGCAAAATGCAGTTCGGCAGAAGCTGTTCGTTGAGATGCTGGGGCTGCCTGCGGGATGGAGGTCTCCCAGGGCTGCATAGGTGGGCTCGGGCTTTGAGCAGGTGAAGGACTCGGCGTGACCTTAGCGCTCAGTGCCCCCGAGAAGTGTTGAACTGCAAGGATGGTGCTCAAAGGAATCAAGGGAAACCTTTGTTTGAAGTGTCGTGTTGTGTATACAGGAGGTTTACCACATAAATAGCAGCAGCTGTGGAAGGGACCTGGGAGAAGGATCCCTATTGCAAAATGCGTATTTAAACATCTCTCGTGTCAGGGTGTCCACGTTTTGCCGTGTACAGGGGATGTTTATGCAAAGCCAACTTTGTTGTGCTGAGATCCTGCTGTCCTTCACACGCCGAGCATTGTGTGCTCTTTACAGTGTTGGTTCTGCAGGTTCTCTGGCCATGTTCTTCTTGTGCCCGTCCTCCTCCACCAGCTCCATTCTGCTCGGCTCTGAGAAGCAGGACAAAGTGTTGATTCCCCTTTTATGTGTGAAGGCTCCTTTTTGTCACCCAGAAGTACTTTGGACCTGACAGCATCAGGCCTAAATTTTAAAATAGCTGTAAAGAGCTCTCTGGCACTTTCCATAGCCAGAACAATGTGAAGGCATTTAATGTTAAGAAGATCGTTTTAAGACTGTATTTTAGGTGTATTCCAGTTGTTAGCACAGCTTTGGTTGCTGCATTCCTGAAAAATTACTGGCAGTGAGGATCAGTGAGTTTTTTGTTTTGGTGCTTATGACTTAAGATGAATTGTCAAAGTGCCAGCCATTTCAAAGGTAGAGAATATTTTGGACTAATTATTTTATTTTCACAAGCATTCTTTTCCCCTAAAATATCTTAACAAAAATATACATAACAGAATGGAATGTTGTTTGTAAAGTTAGCAAGCTAAATAGTAAGAGGGTGATACACCCTTGCACTGAAATTCCTAATTTCCAAGCAAAGGTGATGTTTATTGACTCTTCCCAGCAGCCATTCAACTTCTGGGTTTTTCCTGTAATCTTTAGTAACATTTTTCATTGTTTAAAAAAACCTGCCAGAACAGTGTCTGCTCAAATCTTTTGAATGTGTCCTCTGAAATGTTCTTAGCTGTGAGTCATATATCAAAACATTTTACTGGTGGAGGTGAAAAGGCAGCACGGAGAAATGAACACTAAGGCTAAAGTCTACTAAAGTAAGTTGATATGACATCTCACTTTGATCTTTAGAAGTCAGATGATGCCTACAGGTTTCTGTGGGACTGAGACTCTGAATTTTTATTTCCAGTTTATTTAAATGCTGTGTAAAATGAATGTGTACCACTGAGGGCTTTTTATTCACCAACACAGTAGCTCAGATGTATCTCTTGGAGCTCTGGACACTGGTGATTTTCCCTTATGTGAGTAAAATATAAAAGACTGCAGACTTGTATTTATATCCTTCCTGTTTCCTCCCTCCAGCTTCCTCATGCCAGCATCACTAGATAATAGTTGTGTAATAGTTCTACATTTACAGTGTGTTCCACAGAGCTTTTCATGGGAGAGAGTGCTTCAAACTGCAGAGGGAAATCCCTGCTCCAGAGCTCAATTGTGCCTGCTGCTGGAGTGGAAATCCTTCAGCAGTTCAGCTCAGGGGAAGTAAATACACTTCTTCAGCTGAATCTAGAGGAGCTCTTTAAGTGCAGAAAATAATTCTTGAATATTGCCCCCTGCTCCCTCCAGTCCCTTCTCAAGGACAAGAAGGTTGTCAGCTATTCTTCTACCAAACTGCTGTGGAGTTTTTTTTTCTTTTCTTTTTTTAATCCTACTGATGGGTAATTCTGCTAGTCTCAGATGAGAGCATGTAAGATGAAAGCTGACAATTTGAAAGTGAATGAATGCAAACATTGTTATCGGAGTTCTTTGCTCAAAATAATAAACAAGTGATGACAGAAAGCTGGATAATTCATCCATATCATTAGAGTATGAATGATTAGTAAGGGGATAGCAAGCTGTATAGGCTAAAACACCCCCAAAAGTGGAAGACCCAAAAGCAGGAGTGATCACTTTGGAAAATATTCTGGTCTGCAGGTTTGGGTTAACTGCTCTGCTGCTGCTTTAAAAGAAGTTGCAACAGGAGAGTTGTAGAAGCCTTCAGTGTCAGTGCCTTGTCAGAGCTGCTCTTTGGTTTCTTTTGTTGGCAGCTCTGTCAGGGAACATACTGGCAGCAGATTTAATAAGATACTAATTTCTCATGGAGATGTGATTTTTGGGTTGTTCCAGGGAAGCATGCAGGAGCCTGGGTTTCTATGAAGTGCATGTTGTGTCTGTGCTGGGCCCAGAACAGCTGAGGTTCCCCCTCTGCAGACAGTCTGGTGCAGTAGCAGCCCTCCCAGCAGGGTCAGCTGGAGCAGGCTGCTCAGCACCACGGCCACACTGCTCTCGGTTCTCTTCCAAGATGGACACTCCAGCCTCTCTTGGCAAAGCTAGTCCAGGGTTTGACTGCTGTTGTGGTGCTAGAAGAATGTAATCTTTTGTTGACAGGAAATTCTCTGTATTGCAGTTTGTGCCCATTGCCTGTTGTACTTTGGGGCGCTGCTGAGAGGAGTCTGGCTCCACCTTCTTTGTTGTCCCCATCAGGGACATTCACACACCTTGACGAGGCTTCCCCTGAGCCTCTTCTGGGCTGAACAGTCCCAGCCCTCTCAGCCCCTCTTCCCATGCCAGGTTCTCCAGTCTGGCAGTGGTGTCTCTGTACTCATCCCAGTGTGTGCATGTTTCTGTTGGCTGGGGAGCCCACACTGGGCACAGCGCTTTGGGTGGGTCTGAGCCCTTGGCAGAGGGGCAGCATCACCTGCCTTGAGCTGCGGCAGCGTTTGCCTCACACGGCCTGGGGTGCTGGCATGGGCACTTTGTCCTGCAGGACCCCAGGCTCTGTGCTGCAAAGCTGCTTCCCAGGCTTTGGCTCCAACTTGTCCTGGTCCAAAGGGTTGTTTTTTCTCAAGGGTAAGACTTTACATGTCTCTTTATTGAATTTATGAGGGTCTTGTGTGCCCATTTCTCCAGCCCAGTGAGATCTGTGGAATGGCACCACGAGCACCTGGCATAGTAACAGCTCCTCCTGGTTTTGTGTCCTCTGCAGGCTGGGGAGGTGCACTCTGATCCATCATCCAGGTCACTAATGGACATGTCAAACATCTGAACAATCAACTTTTTACCCAGTGAGGCAGAAGAAGTGCACATTAATTTTTTGCATAACTGGTTGCAGTACTGTATTTTTTTCCCATGTTTATAAGCTTTATTCAAGTTGGTTTTGAACCTAATTTTAAGAGTCAGGAGTACTTTTGACAAAACTTTGAAAAGGTAGCAGCAAAAGTTGTTCAGTGAAAGTGGTTCAAGCAGGACTTAAGGCAGAAGTAACAACTTGTAACATTTAGCTCACTGTCTGTACATCAGTGTAAGAAAATACAAATACGTATCCTGATAGAATCATAGAAGGGTTTGAGTTGGAAGGGACGTTAAAGATCATCTTGTTCCAGCCCTCCTGCCAGGGTCAGGGACCTTCCACTGCACCGAGTTGCTCAAAGGCTTATCCAGCCTGGCCTTGAACACTTGCAGGGAGGAGGCATCCTCAGCTTTCTGGGCAGCCTGTGCCACTGTTTTACCGTCCTCACAATGAAAAAATTTCTTCCTCTTATCTAATCTAAACCTGCCCTCTGAGTTGGAAGCCATTCCCCCTTGTTCTGTCACTACCTGCTGTTATAAAAAGTCCCATTCCAGCTCTCGTAGGCCCCTTTTTGGATTATCTGAGTGCTTTTTAGACAGAAGGTTGGCAAAATGAGCTGAGCCTGGATGTTGGTGACAGCTCTGCACTAACTCACCGTGAGCACTTCTCTCCCACTAAATGCATCTTCAGCCTGGGTGCTCTGACTCACCAAGTGTGCTCAGGGTCCGTGCCGAGCGTTCCTGTGCTGCTGAATAATGCACTTCCTGTTTTGACACATGGTGTGTGTGTGTGTCAGCAAACAAGTGTGAAATCTTTCCTACTGCTGTTGTTTTCCTGCACTGCACTCTGTTCTAGAAACACTCCTAAGAAAGAGCTAACACTGGCACTTTGTAAGAAGTTTGACATTGTGCAGTAACTGAAGAAATTGGCTCATTGGTCTCTTTTCCATCCCTGCCCACTCACTATAAAATACATTTTAAAATGATTTATGAAGGGAGAAAACCCAGTAAAAGACAGTAACAGTGTGGTCATCACCTAGAGCTGTTGCTTGGTTATTAGTACCCCTTTGTGCCTGGAGGAAAATACTTGAAGAAAGGTATTCTCAAACAT